ATCACGTGAGAAAGGTTGAGCGAAAATAGGACTGACCTAACTGAAATTCATATGGGCACTTTTTGACTCCTCAAATCCAACAATTTAACCTGCAAAACATGTGATTCCAGCAGGACGGAGTAACTTGTCACACAGCTAGAGAAACAATGAATCTTTTGCGAACAATATTTCCGGGACGTTTAATTTCTCGATTTGGTGATGTCATCGGTCTTAACAACTCCTGACTTTTTTTTATGGAGACTTTTGAAAAATCGGGATTATGCCAACAAACCAAATACTATAGAGCAAGAACAATGTTACGGAACCGATTGAAAATATTCCTCCCGAAACTTACCAGAAAGTGACGAAATATTGGATGATGGCCGCCAAAGCTTTTCGCATTCCTGTCTCTCCTACTAGACTTACGGTAGCAAATAGAATCCAGATTTAAAATTTTCTACTGACAAAAATCATTTACATGGGGGAATTCAATATGAATCTAATTTTTTAATTTCTAGAGCTACGCTGAATGGCCATTTAACTGATCAATTATTAAGTTGACCCAATTATTCAGATAACTTCAGTTCTTCTGATATGACAGGCGTCCTGTAGCACTTCAGTGATTCATTTCACCAGGGATCTGTGCGGAAATCAAAAGTGGCGTCAAGTAAGTTGACTTAGTAGGCAACGCTGTTATCATTTCATGAAGGAGTTTGTTCGAGTCACACATTGAATGGATCAAGTCAGTCAAACAGACCACAGTTAGTTTATAGTCCCATGCCATCTCTTTGACACTCAAAAACTTTGTCAGCCAAACCTTGGCAGGTATGGTGTGACAAGATTGTTACAAAATGTTACTACTATGACAAGGACGAACTAGCGCTTCAGTTTTTGAAAACCGGTACAGTGAAAAAGCTTGTGGCAAACAACCGGGCAAAAAAACGATAAAACGGTGAAAACAAAAATCGCCCAAACTTCGAATTTGACGATTCAGAAAAACTTTTTGAAAAATTGAGGGGTGAAGGTTGCAGAAGGTGGAGGATGGTGTACCTCAATCCAGTGAAGATAGTAGGTATATTTATATACTTTTAGCCTCAGGAACTCTACGCATCTGTTATTTTTTTTTTGACATTAGACATTTTTATTTAACCTGTAGGCTGTAAATAACAGATAGATCAAGTCAGGTACACAGAAATTGCAAAATAATATAAATATAGGAAAAAATACATCAGATTTACGATAAAATTGACGAACAACACGTAAGTACAATTCAGTACAATTTAAATAAAAAAAAAGCTTCAAAAATACATGAGCTTGTATGCTCTTGCTACCCTGAATAACCAAGATTGCAACAGAAATCTGAGCAAAGATACTAGCATCAGATCTAGAACCGGCAAGTAACGGTATATGAATTGTGAAAATTCTGTATACTTTCGTAAAGGGTAAATGTCTGGATCTTGTCGTCACAAATCCTAAATTACGTATCTGCATAAACAAATCTAAAATTCATAACAATAGTACAGAAGCATACTAAAAACACTCAGAAGTATAAATATAGAGTACATAAAATATGAATATCTGAAATATGATAATAGAGGGATATTTCGAGTAAGGTCAAACTATGTTGTTTAAACAATAAAAATTTTGCGTAAAGGTTAAGCAGAGAAACAAGAGTACTACAATTTACTACAAAAGAATTTACTACAAAATAATAGACACCTAAGCTATAATCTTGTGTGTGTCATACAATATACAAATTCAATGCATGGCTCATGGTCATAAGGTATATTATGAGCAAATGTATATAAAAAAATTAAATAAAAAAAAAAACATTAGATAGAAACGAAATTACTGAGTTGAGTCAAGCTACCGTCGATGCAAGCATGTCAAAGTTATTTAAGATGAACTTCTTAATTCTTTTTTTAAAACTATACTTCGAGAGGATTTTATATTCTAGGGGTAATTTATTATACAACCTAATACCATCAAACTTTATGCATTTTTGGCAAACAGATTTATTCACTCTGGTATAGGTGTAACTTATATTTATTTTAGTTCTTGTTTCATAAGCGTGGCTGGTTGGAACATTGTTTCGGGAGTGAACAAATTTTAGAGCAGCAAAAATATATAAACCTCTAACATTCAAAAGATCATTTTCAATGTAAACAAATCTGCAACTTGACCTACATGGGATACGAAAAATAGTCCTGACAATATAATTTTGCGTGGTTTGTAGTATTTCTAAAGTACTAGTGTATGCGGCTCCCCAAATACTTATCCCGTAAGTTAGTAGAGACCCCACAAACGAGTTATATCTTGAGAGAAGACCCTTTCTGCTTAAAATATTCCTAAGAATGAAAAACTTATGAATAATTCTCCTTAATTTCGATGCCAAAAGCTCGGCATGACTCTGCCATTTTAAATTACTCTCAACAATGATTCCTAAATATCTAATAACTTCAACTCTTTCGACAGTGTCAGCACTATCATTTATAATTAATGTTCGGTGGTGTAATGGCATGCCTGCTTTGGTTGGAGAAAACGTTACATACTTAGTTTTAGAGATATTAAGTTTAAGTAAATTGTTATCCAACCAGCATTTGACTTTATTTAATGACAACTCGGCATTCCGTATTGCGTCATCCCATGAATGACCAGTGCAAACTAAAACAGTATCGTCTGCATATGATATCATCTTACAGTTAAAATTACATCGAAGTAGTTCATTTATGTATATGAGGAACAGTGTTGGTCCCAAAACTGTCCCCTGAGGCACACCTATTTTGATCTTTTGAATGTTGCTTAAATCTGACCCTACCTTAACTTGTTGTAATCGATCAGCCAAATAGTTCTCAAATAAGTTCCGAACTCCACTACGCACTCCAACACTTTCTAGTTTCTTTAATAAAATTGTATGAGATACTGAATCGAAAGCCTTTTGAAGATCTAGGAAAACTGCAACAGTCTTATTTCCATCTTGAAAATTTTCAAGCGCTTGTCCTGTAAGTTCTTGTAGAGATTGCTCTGTATTGCAATTTTTGCGGAACCCAAATTGACAGTTCGATATTATGTCATATTTCTCAAGAAAAGAACAAAGTCTGTTATTCAAACACTTCTCAAAAATCTTCCCAAATACATTGATAACTGAAATAGGTCTATAATTGAACATATTGTCTTTACTTCCAGATTTAAATATTGGTGTCACTATGCTTTCTTTAAATTGGCGAGGAATTACTGAGGATTTGAAACAGAGGTTGATAATGTGAGTTATAGGGTGACTTCATGATCATCTTGATAGTTTTAGTGTGTAAGCCATCTTTTCCGGGTGCGCTATTATTTTTCAGATTACAAACTATTTGTTGTAACTCTATGTTATCCACTGGAGTTAGAAACATAGAGTGAGCAATGTTGATGACATGAGGATCTGATGTATCAAGAATTGAGTTTTGATTAATCTGACTTGTTATTTGCTCACCTATATCAACAAAATATTTATTAAAAACACAGGCTATATCAGTGGGAGTGTCCAGCTGCTGATTATTGTGATTAATTGATTTTACGTCATTTTTTTTTTATTTTGCCAGCATTAGTTACCTCATTAATAACATCCCAGCTCTTCCTATAGTTATTACCAGCTAAAATGAGTGTTTGTGTATAATATTGATTTTTAGAGATCTTAATAAGATTAGTTACTCTGTTTCTGTAGGAGATATAGGACTGTCTCAATACCAAATTATCATTATCTTTCGTCAAACTCTGTTTCAACTCATCTCTCTTCTTGATCGAAGTAAGAATACCTTCAGTCATCCACGGCTTGCGTTTTCTGGTCTTACTATTTATTTTTAAATAATAAGTTGAATGATCTATGCCTTTATATAATTCCTAATAGAAGTTATCAGTTGCTTTTTGGACATCACTCTCTGAAAAAACACTGTCCCAAGTCACCACTTGTAAATAATCTGTCAACTTTTTCTCATCAATTTTCTTAAATTCATAGCTGTTTTTATTAATGATATAATTACTTCCTTTCAAATACCCAAAATTGAACAAAACAGGATAATGATCGGTCATACAATTTTCCAAAAGTATTGGTTTACACTCAATTGCTGTTTCAGAGACCTTAAATCTGTTTGCCTTCAAAAATATGTGGTCGATAATCGTAGATGAGTTAGAATCTACCCTAGTAGGTGTATTAATCTGAGATATGTACCCGTTCTGTTGCAACATATTCACGTAACTTAAATTACTGTACTCATGTTCTCTCAATAAGTCTATATTTATATCACCCACCAACAACGAAATGTCACAGTTTGCAGTACTTCTCAAATACGAATCCAAATTGTTTACAAAATCCTGTACATTCGTGGGATTAGGCCTGTAGATACCAGTAATACTGAAACTGTTATTGTTGAAAATAAAGCTACAATTCAATGCCGTCACTACATCTATCATTTTTATGGAAACATTTGCCGAAATGTCATCTCTTACATACATACAAACCCCATCGCATTTATTATACTTGGCTTCATTATAGTAAATTTGGAAGCCATTTATTTTATAACTGTCGATATTATTGATATTCCAGGTCTCACTCAAAACAATGATACCTATATTTTTATTCTTATTTAACACCGCTATGTTTATACAAAGCTCATCATAGTGAGCTTGCAAGCTCCTGATACTGTAATGAAGTATAGTGAAGTTTAACTTATCACTTCTCTCAAACAGAACACTATTTAATTCATCAAAATTAGAACAACTGATGGTCGTGATATTGTTATAATCCTCTAAAATATTCAAAGCTGTATCAATATCAGTCATATACAAATCAAGCTAAACTCAATATGAATGCAGAAAAAACTGAAACTAACTAAACTGCTACAACTAAACAATGGCTCAGTTATGTAACAAATTACAACTCGCAGAAAAGGAAGGAGAAAAAAAAGAAAAGAAAAAAAGGACTAAAACAAAATGAAAAGCTCACGTCCACTCTGCAGCAACCTGAACAGTACATGGGATCATTACTGCGCCATGTTATTCAAGTCCTCTTCCGTTTTTATCTGTAACTTGTTTTCTCGCAGTTTCACCCATATTTCTCCGTTATAAAACCAGGTCTTCTGCTTACCCCATTTCTGCACGGCCTTTTGATACAGGTTATATCGAGCAGGCGACATATCTTCAGTAAGAATTATTCCTGAACCTTTCAGTAACTTCCTGTTTCTCAGAAGCTTCATTTTCAGGTTATGAGAATTTACAGTAAACAAGACAGAACGCTGTTCGTTCTTCTTTCTTCCTAACCAAAAACAATTTTCAATACCTGCTCCAGGACACTTATAACATGTGATTCCTTCATGCCAACTATTCTAAAAGATTTCCGACGTGTATGTTGTTGGAATTTTTCCAAATCACACTCTAGCTTATTCTTAGCATGTCTCAGGTCCACTATTTGTTTTTCTAGCTCGATCGTTTTTTGTTGAGATTCCTTTATACCCAGTTTCTGTTCGATTTTATCAGAAATAAGCGTTAAGAATTTATCATCACTGAGCAATTCTTCAGTGGTTTGCTTTATAATTAATTTAACATCGGCCATTTGATCTCGTGTCAATGGCATATTGATTTAGTGTACTAACCTTTCAGAGCAGAAGAACCAAATTATTTAATTCCACTTATTACTGGAGGTTTTTCAGATTTTCCGCAGAGCGACACACAGCACGTCTACTCTCTCACCATGTCTACGTAACTCTGTTATATATAGGTATTTCACGCGTAGCTTTGTCCGTATGTTTGCCTTCAAAGCTTACAAGTGGAATGATTTTCAATATCGGCGTCCAGAAATGGGCATATACGAGCCCCTTCCCACTTCAGTTGGCCCACTTTACGATTTGTACCAAAATATGCCTTTATAAACTAAACATGACGAAACTATTTACTTCAAAAACAACTTATTTTCTCAAAAACATTTTAGATACACTCTAGTCTTAAAAAATACATATTTGAAATTACATATAACTAATAGAACATCTGAACAAATAAACAATGTGCGAATAAATGCACGAAGTTAACAAAGCAACAATTGAAAGATTACAATTGGGTAACATAACCTCTATTTTTTATTACGGCTGAAATTCTTTGGGGAATAGTGTTAACCAAGTTCTGGCAAAAATTTGGTGTAAAACAATCTCATATTTCTTGAAGCATTTGTCTCAGTTCGGTGATTGTACGAGCAGGATGTTGTCGTAGAACCTTTTTCATCTCGTGCCACAAAGTCTCAATAGGTGATAGATCTGGACTGCCAGAAACCCATTTCAAAAGTGGTACATTATTTTCTTCCACATTTCCATCAATAAATTGAAGTTTTCCTACTCCTTTTGATGACATGCTGCCCCAGACCATAATGGATGCTGGAAATTTCACTTTTCTCTTCAGACAGTCAACATGGAGTGCTTAATTTTTTTTACGGATAACTCTACTGCGACTGTCACCGACACAAACTTCGAATCGGGCCTCATCACTCCATTGTTGAGGTGTCCATTGTCTATGTTCTTTAGCCCATCTAAGCCGATTTTTCTTTTGCAGTGGAGTTAATAGTGGCTTTTCCTTGGCCTATAAACAGGTTGTGCAACTTTAGGGTTTTTACTTCACTTTTTTTTATAATAAAACTTACCTTCAAGTGCTAAATCCCAGTTTGTGGGCCTCTCTATGAGTTGTGGACCTCGAAATTCTCCTTCCAACAGCGTCACTCCACACAGCACTTAATTGTAAATAATTGGCACGCCTGTCTTTCACGATTATTCTTCTTAATGCTCTTCGGTCGGCATTTGTGATTCTACTTTTTTTCACATATCGTGGCTTAGTATTACCTAAACCAGTTACGTTATGTCTTCTAACAATATTTCTCACACTGTACCGCGAGTCTATGTTTTCCCAGAATAAAAAAATTTAATTATCAGTAACCGAATTTTCTCACTAATAACCTTTCCTTTACCCATTTTGAATACCTTAACTACCCAAAACTATTTTAAACGTATTTTGACAGCTGTGATTAATAAAAGCAATTGTCATGGCTTTTATTTTTCACAGCCGCCTATGCGTCATAGACTTATTTTGCATTGAAATGAAAATAGGTTGATATGCTGTAATTGCAACATGTGTTATTTTTATGCTGCAAATTTGGTTAGGGAGTGATAGAGTTGGTATTTTCTACTATATATTATCGAAATATTAATTGTTAATATTTTAAACCTATAACAACCTGCTACATTTTTATGATTTGTGTTTGATAAGAAAAAAACTAAGATTTCAATAGTTGGGCCAAACTGAAGTGGGAAGGGGCTCGTAGACTAGACGCTGGGTGGACTTGAGCTTGCAAAATGTGATGACCAAATAATAATTCCCATCCTGCCGGAATACTTTTTCGTAAATTTTTTTAATCCCTTCCCAATTACAAAAAAATGTTTCGTTCCGACAATTTTTTCTGATCCCTCGGTTCATTCCAAAGTTAGTCGTTTTCGTGATATAAGCTATTTAATGTCTAAGGCCCGTATCGTCAGTCGTCCCTACAATTGTAGGGCGCCTTTATGGCCTCCTTGATTGTCATAGTTTTCTACTTCTCCGTGTCAGCGCTCTATTTTGAGGTTATGTCACAAACATTTATTTGCATCAAATTGTGCTTGCTTTTGAGTTATATCATGTTTTATCAGCCTGAAATTTCCTACAAGTTAAAAAGAAAACATATCTTCACAATAGGAGAGCGCTGACGCTGATAGGGGACAAGTGTAATCTAGAAATTTTTGAAGGAGAGAAAGAAGTATGACAATCAAGGAGGCCATAAACGCGCCCTACAATTGTAGGGACGACTGACGATACGGGCCTTAATGTCTAAAAAACCCTAAAAACGGCCATCTTCAGTGACTTGAAACTTGGTTAAGGATTATTATTTTTGAGGTTGCCAAGTATCTAAGTGCCTTCCGATGCAAGACCCTGAAGAATATTTTTAGATTTATATTATAGCGATACTTAAGCTAGCTTGTTAGGCCAAAACAGACAAGCGAGACTTTGATTTTCACAGACTATACATACCATGTTCATCAAATTGAAGCTAAGACCAATGTTCTGTTTATAGCAAGGTGTATCGGCAGGTATTTCAAATATACAGGGCTTCCCAAAAGTAATAGAGTGAGTGACTTCCAATCCGAAGAGCCATATGCAGGCTATATCTTTTAACTACATTGTATTTGTACATGATGAAGTAACTATATAGAAGTATTTTATAGAAAAAATAAACAAAGTATAATCTTATTTGTACATGCAGCTAAAGACCACAGATGAAACGGTTCGTTTTTTTAAATCTGGGAAAAAAATCAATATCTCAAAAACGGTGACACTTTTATGTAGGTAAGTTTTTGTTATTTGGGAGGTTAGGCCAAAGCCTACCTGCTCCTTAAGTTTGTCGTGGTACTTATTGGACACCCTGTATGTCCTCATCCAATTACGTACGGTTTTAGAGTTATCGCCATGTTGAAGAATTTGTATAAAATATCGCTACTTTTTGACTGCGGTCTTTTTCTGAAATTATCTTGTGTCACTTCTCAGCCACTTTTGTTATTATTGTGCTGGCGCTGGGAGAAGCAAAATGTGAGGACGATCAACTATGTTCAGATTCTTTTACTAGATACCTTAAATTTTGTTCTAGGTGTATATTTTGCATAGTGAGTACATAATAATACAAATATACTTTAGCACCTTTCCATGCTTTTTGGGACGCCCTGTATATTCACAAACATCAACTGCCGATACAGTTTTCTATAAACAAAACATTGGCTTCAACTTCAATTTAGTAAGGTAGTCTGCAAAAGTTACAAGCACGCCAATTTTGGCTTAACAAGCTAGCTTAAAAATCTTGGAAGTTTCTGGAAACCTCAAAAATGGTTTTCTTGGATTCTTCTTTTTTATCATTGAAGATGACCGTTTTTGGGTTTTTCAGACATTAGACATTTTGCCTAATAGGCTAGCTTAAGCTGAACATAATTTTTTATAGATAGATAGATAGATACAGTTATTATCTTGTAGATCATAAAATGACATAAGACTCTTCCTAATAGGGAGCTACATAATTAAATTAAAAACAAAAAAAAACATAAGTATTTACAGAGTACAAACAGGAACAACTCAAGGCGTACAGACATTCACATATAAAAAAAGTTTTAAAAATATATCACAGTGCGAGATATTCAGACAAAGAGTAGAAACATTTTTCAACTAATAATTTTCGTAGTTGACATTTAAAACCAGCAATACTACTGACATTCCTGAGGTTAGCTGAAAGTTTGTTATATGGGGTTGTCCAAAACGGACGCAGGAAAGTAAACGCATATTAAAACAAGAAAGATTGATATTCAAATCAAGTTGGATACTTTGTTTTGAAGGTTCATTTATGCCATTTATATATGAAAAATAATATCGCTCAAATGTTCACCACGACTGGATTTACAGACGTCTACGCCATGGTCGAAATTTTCAATGACATTTTGCAACATGGTCGGTTCTATGGCATTTATCTCGGCAATGTTGTTGTTTTTGAGTTCTTGGAGGGTGGCTGGTTTGTTGACGTAGACTTTGCTTTTCAAATATCCCCATAAAAAGAAGTCCAAGGGAGTCAAATCGCACGACCTTGGTGGCCATGGCACATTTCCTCTGCGCAAAATCACGCGATCACCGAAGAAGGACTGCAATCGATGGATATTGACGTTGGTTGTGTGTCCCCGGCCGCATTTTCAAAAAAGTAAGGTCCGATGATGCCTTTTGACCACAAAGCACACCACACAGTCACTTTTTGAGGATGCATCGGCTGCTCTTGATACTCACGGGGATTTTCGTTCGCCCAGATGCGGCAGTCTTGCTTGTTTACCGTCCCATTCAAAGTGAAATGCGCTTCGTCGCTGAACATGATTTTTGATGAAAAATTGGCATCAATTTGGCGGTGTTCAAGGAGCCAATCTAAGAACGTTCGGCGCGAAAAATGGTCGGCCCGACGTAGCTCTTGCGTCAATTGGATCTTGTAGGCGTGTACATTCAAATCCTTGTGGAGAATGCGGAGCAAAGTGGTTCTCGAAATGCCCAATTCTTGGGATCGACGCGTTGTTGATTGTTTCGGATAGTCTCTCACATTCTCCTTCACAACAGCAATATTTTCCGGTGTGCGAACGCTCCTTGGCCGGCCAGAGCCTGGCAGATT